TCTCCTCTCTGATCTCCTCGCTCCTTTACATTTTTCAGGCATGCTAAATAGCCACGCTGTGCTCGTTCGCCGAGCGCACAAAGAGGAACAGAACAATATCAAGCATTATTCAGCCCTCTCTTTTGTCGCCTCAAATCCATTCTGAAGTGTCTATTAAAGGAGTCGTGGCCTTTCTGTCGCCTCTGTGCCAGACGACACAGGAGGGAGAAAGAGGAGAGAGAGGGAGGAAAACAGGAAAAGAGCAGTGCATAATCTCCTATGTATGACAGATAAAGGGAGTGAATATCGCCATCTTTCCGCTCTGCTCTCCACATCCTCTAATCGCTTTTGCGACGTTTCAATCTGCCAAGGCCCTAATGAAAATATGATGAGGCGGATCTATGGTCCTCGGGGACAGACGGAGGTACGGGGGAGGAGGGAGGCGAGGAGAAGGAGGGAACGAGGGAGAACGAAGGGAGAGAAAATACACTCTGTCCTTATTTCTGGGCTCCTTCGGGGATTCATAGTTCTTGGAGCTTTCTATTTAGATGTTGCTGATGCCCGAGTGGCTCTGCTTCTCTCTCCACCTTCAGTTTCACTCCATCCTCCTGTTTTCGTCTTTGTATTTGTATGTTTTTACCTTCCACACACTCTCTCCCCCCTTTTGCCTTCCAGGAAAGGTGAAAGTTTCTGACGGGGTTTGTTTTTCCTCGCCGATCTGCAGCTGTGATTTTAAAAAAGCAGGACGCAGTTACTCCTTGTAAACTTTCTGTGTCTCCCTGTCTCAGACGGTGACGATGACCCAGCAGGTTTGTCCTGGGTGCCTTCCTCGCCCTCCAGTAAGGATGTGGCATCGCCTTCGCAGATACCCGATGGCTGCTGTGACCTCGGCATGGCCACTGGCGGCGAGGAGGAGGGAGGAGCGGGCCTGCCGTACCCGTGCCAGTTCTGTGACAAGTCCTTCAGGTACCACGTTCAGATGTTTGCAGAAGGAAACGCGTTCAGATGCATCGCCATGTTTATGAAAATCAACGTGCGCACCAACAAACTGTATTCTCAGTATCGCCATGGTAACACACGGACCACTAAGGCAAACAGTAAAGGGAGTGAGGTGAATACATTTCTCACTCGCCTCTCGGGGACTGAGTCAAGAACCATTTTAAGAACAGCTGTCAACATCATCATCATCATCATCCTCTGTATCACCCGCTCTGTCCTCGCCATCGTCCTTTACGAACCAACGCTTTGTAAAGACGTAGATGTCTGGTACATCCGGTTACTTTGACACATGCGTGAGTGTTGCTGCAATAACACATAAACGTTGTCGTTGTCTCGCAGCCGCCTGAGCTACCTGAAGCGACACGAGCAGATCCACAGCGACAAGCTGCCTTTCAAGTGCACCTTCTGCAGCCGTCTGTTCAAACACAAGCGGAGCCGAGACCGCCACGTCAAACTGCACACAGGTACGTGCAAACATCTCGCCTGAGACGAGCTGCTGCGTCCTCGCGTTTCGTTTTCTGTCCCTGTTTTTAATCACGTCAGGATTGTCTGAGAACTGCAAACTGTGATGTTTGTAAAGTTATTCGATGAAGCAGAGAAGAAGGAAAACTGTAGGAATAGTTTTAACATCATCAGTGAAGCTTTTGCCTTTCAACGATTTAGGAGATAAGAAGTACAGCTGTCAGGAGTGTGAGGCGGCTTTCTCTCGCTCGGATCACCTAAAGATCCACCTGAAGACGCACAGGTAGCTGCTTCTGAACTCATCAGCACAATAAAGCTCAGAATCGGTGCTGATTTCTACTCCTTTTCTCTTTTTTCCAGCTCCAGCAAACCGTTTAAGTGCAGCGTGTGCAAGCGCGGCTTTTCCTCCACCTCGTCGCTGCAGAGCCACATGCAGGTAAGTGTTACCTGTGGTACTGAGATTAATGGGCACAGGTGCACGACTGCATGTGAATGTTGTTCCTGCGTCCTCGCGTCTGAATGTCTGTCTCCGGCAGGCTCACCGTAAGAACAGAGAGCACCTCGCCCTGAGGAGCGAGAGAGATGGAGGAAAGAAGGGAGCGGCCGGAGACGGCGACCTGGAGCAGGACCTGTACATGTGCGATTACTGCGAGGAGACGTTCAGTCAGACCGACGAGCTGGAGAAACACGTCCTGACCAGACACCCCCAGCTGTCGGACCGGGCCGACCTGCAGTGCATCCACTGTCCTGAGATCTTTCTCGACGAGGCTTCGCTGCTCACGCATATCGAAACGCAGCACGCTAACCGCAAACACAAGTACTGCAGAGCTTTGCCTCTCAAACGTCTCCGCTCGCCGCTCTGATACCCGTTACTCGCCTCTGACCGGCCTTTTCTGTGTCCACAGATGCCCCGTCTGCTCGGAGCAGTTCCCCTCCGTCGAGGATGTGTACTGCCATCTAGACAGCCATCGTCAGCCCGATTCGTCCAACCACAGCGCTGCCAGCCCCGACCCGGCGCTCGGCAGCGTCGCCTCAATGAGCTCAGCCACTCCAGACTCCAGCGCCAGCCTGGAGAGAGGCTCCACCCCCGACTCCACGCTAAAGCACAGCCAGGGCAGCGAACGCAGCCGCAGGAGAGGCGGCGATCCCGGCGAGGACGTGGGGATAAACCTGGGCCATCAAGGCGGAGGTGCGTTAGCCACTTACCTACAAAGTAGCTGCACAGTTACCAGGTAGTCACCACTAAAGTAGCCTTTGTGTCTGCAGGCGGGGGCGGATCCTGGGGTAAAGTGACCTACTCTTGCCCTTACTGCTCAAAGAGAGACTTCCACAGTCTGGCCGTGCTGGAGATCCACTTGAAGACCATCCACGCAGATAAGCCACAACAGAGCCACACGTGTCAGCTGTGCCTGGAAACTCTGCCCACGCTCTACAACCTCAACGAGCACGTGCGCAAAGCTCACCGTGCGAGCGGAGGGACGGTGGGTGCGGCGGCCTTTCCTCTGCTGCAGTTCACCAACGTCACGGCGTTCCACTGCAACTACTGTCCCGACATGTTCGGGGACATCAACTCTCTGCAAGAGCACATCAGGGTTTCCCACTGCCTGCCCGGCGGCATCATGGCAGGATCCACCACATTAGGTGTGTTTAAGCTGCTTATCGGTGAGATGGTGTTGAGTACATGTCGTCATTTCCTGTGACTGTTGTTGCTGCAACCATTAAAGCGAGCTTCTCCATCCTAGAAGGGAACCATGCCTTCTTCTGCAACCAGTGCTCCATGGGTTTCCTGACAGAGTCCTCGCTGACGGAGCACATTCAGCAGACACACTGCACCTCCGCAACAGGTGGAGGAAGCGCATCAGGTGGAGCAGTGGCCAAACTCGAGTCTCCCATACTTCAGGCGGGATCGCAGTCCTTCATGGAGGTGAGGAAAACTGTAAATCTGTTCAGTGTAACCAGTAAGAAGAAAAAACACAGCTTGGTCACCTCGTTAGTTATTCAGTTCCCGTATCCTGTCATTTGTTAGTCGGACTAAGAGTTTTTAACCCACAGTT